CGCCGCCGCTGCAGGGGGCGAGGATGCGGCCCCGGGGCAGCCCGCGCGGGGCCCGCTGAGCACCGGCCCCGGGTCCCCATGAGCCGGGGAAGATGTACGCGGGGAGGAAGCGGAGGAAGCCGGTGCAGAGGACGTGAGTAGGGGGCGGCTGCCCGGGCGGGGACCTCGGCAGCTCCCGGCCTGGGTCTGGCGCTGCGGGGAAAGTTTTTCAGGTCCACTCCATCTCAGGGGAAACGCCTCCGCTTGCCCTCGTTTGAGCTGCTGGCCGGCACTGCTTCATTGTGGCCGGGGGAGAGGGCGTCCTTCCTGCTGCCCCGGGGGCAGTGATGCAGCCTGGCAAGGCGGTCCGAGGAAGGCGCTGCCGAGGAGTGCAGGCTCGAGGGAGCGGGCTCCTGGCTCCTCAGGAGCGCGGGGGGTTTCCAACCGGGGGCATGTGGGTTTCAGGCCCCCAAACCTGGGGTCTGCCAGTGTCAGGAGGTTGGGAGAGAATTGATATCGGCACCGAGAGATTTAGGGCAAGACGGGGAGTTTCTGTGGCTCCCCTGCTTTACCTGCCGCAGGTTCGGACGCTAGGTCTGTGGTTGACTATAGACTTACGTAGACTTTAAATCAGCGGTGCCCATGGGCATCATGCCACCCCGCCCAAGGTTTATTCAGGTGGGATTGATCTAAATACTGTAATATCTATTGATCTAAATACTTTAATATTCATATTGGTGCCTGCTGTTTTATCTTTTAAATTTGAATGTGCCCTTGGGCATGCGAGTGTTGGGAACCGCTGGCTTAGATTGCATGAGCTGGTTTGGATGGGGATGATCCTGCCTCCAGAGGGGGTTGGACTAGATAAGTGGTCCTCAACATTTATTGTATCAGGATCCGTCAACGGCCAGTCCTGACCCAGTGCCCCTCAGTCCCAACCCACTGTCTCCACCCCGAAGCCCAGTGTGTGGGCAAGGGCTGGGTGTGTGGGGCAGGGTGGGCTCAGGCAGCCCCTTGCAGGGCTGGAAGTCTGCCAGCCAGCCAAGGAAAAGCCACAGTTTCCCACATTTTTCTCCTTTAAATGAGAATCCATTTTTAAAGTTTGTTCGTGACCTTTTCATATATTCTTGCAACCCACTTTTGGGTCACGACCCACAGGTTGAGAAAAGCTGGATTAGATGACCTCCTGCAGTCCTTTCCAGCCTGACTTCTCTACAATTCTATGATTCAGGTTTTGTACTTTCTGCTCTTTTAAAAAGTATGTGCAGAATAAAAAAATATATATATATTTGCGGCCTTTTCGTGTTCAGTAAATTGTTCCTCTTTTTTCTTCTTGCACCTGGTTACTAAAACAGTAGGTGAACTTAAAGGATGTGTTATTATGTAACATCATCTAATTAATTCAATCAAACTCATTTTATCTAAATTGTTGGCCCAGTCATGTCCGTTCTTGATGGTTGTGATGTGTAGTGAACTTCCCTGTTAAACTGCCATCTAAAACTATTTAAGTGACATAACGGTTGATATCTTCTATGGAAACTATTAATAGTCATGATGGTGATGGAGGAACTTCCATAATTAAGTTATTGAGAATACTACTGTCATGTTCCCATCCTTTATTCTTTGCAGTCACAGTGACAGGCTAAAAATGGATGGTATAAGATTCAAAATAAAAATAATTTCTCAAGTATGTTTCAGAGGGCAAGAAGAAAGGCACTCTAGCTAAGTGAATTAATTAGTTTCCTTCCAAAAGTTGTGCTTCTGATTTCAGGAGTAAGTGAAAGGCTGAAAGTGTAAGCTGGGAGGGCTGGAAAGTCTTGTTGCAGTAAGTCGGTGATAGTCGATTCTGAAGGGAAGTTGCACTTTGTTCTCGTTCTGGAGAGATGGGGATAATAGTAAGTACTTTAGGGTAGGACTTCTCTCAGTGTGGATTTGCATTTACAGTCCAACACTGATTAATATGTACAACTGAATATGAGGCTGAATGAATAGATTCATACTAGGATAAGAATCGAGGACTGGAGGATTCCTGTTGGGACATAAGATGTACCTTATTTTGTTCTGTGCAGGAAATCACCATGCGCTCTTTAGAGGGTCAGTTTTCCCTTGGGCACAGATATGTGCAAGGTGCATCAGTTTTTGTTCCTCCTGCCTACAGGGTGAAGCCGCCACCTCCGGAAGGTGTGAAGTCAAACCCCTCCAAGCGTCACAGGGACAGGCTGAACTCAGAGCTGGAGCGGCTGGCCAGCTTGTTGCCTTTCCCTGATGAAGTCATCTCAAGCCTGGATAAACTGTCCATCCTGCGTCTCAGTGTCAGCTACCTCAGAACCAAGAACTTCTTCAATAGTAAGAGAGAGCTATGGGGGAGAACAGGGTGGTTCTCTTCAATTAGATATACACCATATTCCCCGCCACACTGTGACAAACAAGAGCTTCCTGTATGGAAATCCCACCTCCCATATTGACTAGTGGGCAATATTGTTGCTTGAGGAATGGCCACTGTTGCTAAAGTCTTTTGCTTGCTTCCCATGTGCAGACCTTAGAGTGGATTTAACAATGGGTGCAGTGTAACGTTTTGCCAGGACGTGGAGCTTCTATTTCATCATTGTGTTCAAAGAATCCGTTGAAATAAGAACGTGAGGGAACTAAAAAGACAAGAAGCATGATTTCCTAAACCTCTTGAAATAGAAGCACTGTTTCATGGTTATCCACTGGTACTTTTTCTGAATTGGCAGAGAACCTAGAATAGGATTTAGTGGCTGCCTATAAGTATATAATGGGTGTGCATCAAGAGTTGAGAGAACGTTTGTCTACCAGGGCCCCCCAAGGGAAGATGAGGTCTAATGGTCACAAACTCCAGGAAGACTGTTTCAGGCTAGACATAAGAAAAAACTTCTCTACTGTCTGTGTCCCCAGAGCCTGGAATAGATGCCCCCCAGAAGTGGTGCAAACACCTACTCTGGATGCTTTCAAGAAACACTTGGATGCCTCTCTTGCTGGGATCATTTGACCCCAGCCATAGGCAGAGGGAGAACATTTTTTTGCGGGGGCTGAATGTGCACACGTGTCCGTGTGTCCCCCCTCCCCCCCAGTGGAAAAGTCTGTGGGAGAAGGCGTCGGTAGGAGGGGGAAGGACTGTGGGAGGGGGGAAAGGAATGGGGCTGGGGTTGGGCAGGGTTTGGAGCTGAACCAGGCCCAGGATTGGGAATGGGGCTGGGGCCCGTTGCGCCTGTCCCTTCCCCCATGCTCGGGGTCATTGCCCCCAGCTCTGGCACTCCCTGTGCCAATGAATTTGCCACCCCCCAACCCTGCACTGGCTGTGGCTACCTCTCTGCACTGGCCCTGGCCCTGGCCCCTCACCGCCCTGCCCTGCACTGGGGGCAAGGGGAGAGGGGCAGAGCTGGGGGCTGGAGCAGGGCAAGCCTCTGCTGTGCTGCCAGGCCAAAGGGGACGGAGCCCCCAGGACGCCAGTGTTCACCTTACCTCAAGTTGGAAGAGCCCGGGGCAGCCCTGGCCCCAGCCCGCAATGACAGTTGCCCTAACCCATGCAGATCTAGGGGCACATGCCCCCCCCATGCTTCTTGGGGTGCACATAGCAGCAGGAGCTGCACCCTCCCAGACTGGCAGGGGGCTAGACCTGATGATCTTGCGAGGTCCCTTTCAACCCTATTGTCTATGAAATCTATGAAACCTTATAGGACCAGAAAGCGTAATAGGTCTCTTTCATCTCTGTGTTCTGTTTTGTATTCTGCCTTTTATTTCAAACTGCACCTGGAATATTTAAATGGCAAATCCATTAGGTCCTGTAGAAGATGATGCTTAGTTTTGCTTGATTTAGTCTAGGTTAACATTTTTGGTTTCTGAGGACAGTGCTCACTGGTGTACAGTGACATCCACCGGTGACATCCACTTCCCATTTGTTTGGACATCAAAATCCAAACAAAAGGCAAACAAACTTGCCACAGAAATCGGCAGACTGGGTTTTTCCCTCTTCCTCTCACTTTTTTCTGTATTGATTTTTAGCTTGTTGAGCAGGAAAGCTCTCGGGAATAGACTAGGTTTCTATTTAGAATATTTGCACTATAGCTTGAGTAGTGAGAGCTGTTTTGAAGCTTTATTAACAGGGTAATTCATTCTGAGCAGTGGTAGTGAATATTGTACCTGCTTTGATAGTCTGCTCATTGTCTGTCAGTCTCATCTGAGCTCTTGATCAAAATGTGTTTTGCTATTGATATGACTTGAATAAAAAAAATTAGATTTGAGGTTTCATATGATTCCCCCCCCCCCCCG